TTACAATTTAATGCATTGAGGAAGTACAGAGCTAATTTGTTACATGAAAAAATAAAGTTAGGGGGTTTTTCGTTGAGAACAGAATTATAGAATTTTTTGAGCCAGAAGAGACCTTATAGATGATCCTGTGTGTGCTCTCTGTGTGTTCATATACATGCTGAATGTGTACAGACAAGAAGGAACAGAAGACATGTACATATAAACTAAAGTATGGAAAAGGAGGCTCCACAGATACCTGTGTGTGAGCACAGAATGAGAATATGTTTGCATTTGTAAGTGTGTACATGAATGAAAGGGAATGCCACAAGATTGGTTACTGGAGCGTTTTCTGTGTTATTTTTGTTGTAGATACAAGGCTGGAAAGCAATGAGTAAGTTTATATTTATGTATGAGTGAGGAAAGGCGGTATGTAGGGTTGGAGACGTGTGTGTGTGTGTGTGTGTGTGTGTGTGTGTGTGTGTGTGTGTGTGTGTGTGTGTGTGTAGGAGTGGTAAGTAGATAAAGGAGGTCTCCATTTTTTCTTTGTCCCTGTTTGTATTTGAGCTTCCTGCTGAAGGAAGAAGTGAGGCCTTCTGACCTTGAGGACAGAGAAATAGCATCTTGGAGGGGCTGGTGAAAGGATTGATGAGAGCCTCTTATGGAAAAGTCATTGAATTTGAAACTGGAAGACCTGGGTTTAAATCCTGTCACTTCTATTCAATAGCCTTTACCTTTGGCAAGTTATTTGACTTTTCTGGGCCTCAGTTTCCTCATCTGAAAAATGCATGTGTATAAACAGATGATCTCTGAGGTCTCTTCCATCTTCAGACCTATAATTGTTTCTTGTTAGCAGAACCTGTTAGCGTCTCGACTCTTTTGAATATTGTAAATACCTATACAAAAAGTAAAGAAGAAAAATATCATGTAAATGGAATCTTATTTCTTCCCTGCTTCCATCGAGAAGCATTTGATATGTGGGGGTTAGAAAGAAATAGAAGACATAGTTCCTGCCCACTAGGACATTACAATATAGTTCAGGAGATAGTACAAATTCATTAAAGATAACTGTCATATAAACTGAATTTTTATAAAGGAATATGTTAATGTAAATATATTAGGGAAATTTGCTACTTAAAGAAACTTTCAGAGAAATATTTATGAAGGAGGACTCATTTTATAATATAAATAATCACCTCCAGTTGATTTGTGTGTTTGATTTACAAGTGGGAGCATACGTGTATCTTTCCTATAGTTTGTTCTTTGTATAGGAAAATATATATGCAGAATAAATGAGATAAATTGGGGTGGCCAATTAATAGTCGTGGGGATCAGAAAAAGTTTTGGGTAGAAAGTGTCACCTGAGTAGTTTTGAAAGAAACAAGGGATACTAAACGATGAGGTAAGATGAGAGTGTGCATTCCAAGTGTGGCAGACATCCAGTGCAAAGGCAAAGAGACAGGCCATGGAATATCTTGTGCAAGGAATAGCAAGAAGGACAATTTGGCTGGCAGTAGGCATCCTGTATAATAAGGTTAGAAACGTAGTTTAGGGCAGGCTATGAAGGATTTTAAAATCTAAACAAAGAGTTGTGTTTGATCCTTACAATAGGGAGACATTAGGGTTTACTGGGTTAGGAGAATGATGTGGTTAGGCTTGAACCTCAGGAAATTCACCTTGGCTGTTGTGTGGAGGATGGATTATAGTGGGGAAAGACTTAAGGCAGGGCCACTAATAGAATAATGCTTTTGTCCAGGCAACAGGTGATGAAGAGTCATACTAAGATGGTGGATATGTGAAGAGAGAGAAGGGGTAGTTAACATTCTACTTAAAGCTTGTTTGCTTTGTGTGTGTGTGTGTCCACATTTGGCCTACCTTTATTATGTTGATCTGTTGGTTGCCAACCCTATTTAGCGTGTCCTTGAGATTAAGGAATTCTTGATCTGTGGACTTTGGTTGGGCAAGGATATGTTATGAGTTCATATTTACTGAAGATGAAGTTTAACAGTGCTTTACAGTGTGATAAAGGCAGACAGATAAGGAATTTTTTTGGAAAAAGCCCTTTGGTGACCCATAAATGATACCACTGACTTTTCAGGTCCAACCTAACAATGATGAGTGGAGTTTTTACTTAGATCATAAAAGATGGGCACATACACTTAATATAGTATATAAGGTAGGGAGATGGAAGGAATAATACACTTCACACAAAGAGTTCATACTTAAACCCCTAACATCAGAGATGGAAGGTAGTGGTTTAAGGTGTAAAGGGTGTGTGTGTGTGTGTGTGTGTGTGTGTGTTTACGCAGATAGAAATTTCAACCGTATCAACTTAATGGTTATGGTAAAAGTAACGTTGGTGCATTGTGCTATTTTATGTGTTTGCACATATACTTGGATTTGATTTGTGGTTCAGTCAAAACTTAAATATTATATCAGAAGAAGCCATTACTTCTGAGGGATTTTAGTTTTGTTTTTCAGTCACTATCTTCTCTTTGCTTCCAGTCCACTCAACCAAATTTGTTAAACTACTTTGTAGTTCAGTTAGCTTCAATCTTGGTCATTACTACAGGCTAGGCCCTTAACTCTTCCTGGCTTGTCATAGTTTATTACAGTCATCAAGTTTTTAAAGTAGCCTCCAATTAGGAATATAGGACTTAGAATTAAAAGGAGTGGAAGAGATCATCTATTCCGTATCCTTTTTTTTTCTTGGCAGAAGAAGAACCTTAGGCATATGGCAAAACAACTTGCCACTAGTCACACAAGCACTAAAGTAGAATACTGGGATTCAAACTCAGATCCTGAACTTTTAAATCCAGTGCTCATTCTGCTTTGCCGTCCTGTCACTCCGTGTATTTCATAGTAGATGGGAATTTTCATCATTACAGTTGCATCTGAGGGTGCATTGTATTGACATTGTACATCTAAACCATGGAGTAACTTTGACATTTGGAAGAGACCTTTATCTTGAAGGAACAGGCCATAATAGGAATCTAAGGAGCTGGTTTTAGTAGAAAGAGGGTGACCTTGATCATTTTGGGTTGTCTGGGGGGACTATGGAGGGCCTTATAAAGAAAGAATAAATCTGCTCTTGGGCTCCCATTAAGTAAAATTCCAGTTTGCTTGTTGGGTAATGGCTAGGAATGAGAAAGTTAGTAAAACAGATGGGCTTGAGAAGAAGCAGAATTAAAAAAAATATATATTGATGCCTTTTCTTTTTACATTTACATTCACTTGGATATACACACGACTCCGCTCCTGCTCCCACTCCTCCCATACATTATAACAGAGATTGTTTTTAAATTCAGAAAACCCAGTCAATGCATTGACTTTAGTGTGATAGCATATGTAGCATTCCATGTCTGTAATACCTTACTTTTTAAGTGAAGAAAAAATGGTACATATACTCATTTGTGACAAATTGAAAAAGAAAGGAAATATATTTTTCATTCATTTTATGATAAGCTAGAATTTCTAAACCTGACATGAAGGCAGAATGGAGGTTTCTATCTTATGACCACAACCTGACACTAATATGATTGATTAGGGCTACTACCAATACCAGAATGATTTTAGTAGGCAGCTAGGTGGTACAGTGGATAGAATGCTGGGTGGTGCTGGGCCTGGAGTTAGGAAGATCTGAGTTCAGATATGACTTCAACACTTACTAGCAGAGTGATTCTGGGCAAGTCACTTTACTTCTGTTTGCCTCAGTTTTCTCATCTGTAAAATGGGGATCATAATAGCATCTACCTTCTAGGGTTGTTGTGAGCACCAAATGAGATGATAATTGTAAAACATTTAGCACACTGCCTGGCACGTAGTAAGTGCTATATAAATATTAGCTATTAATAGTGGTTGGGATGGAAAGAAGAAGGGATGGGGTCATAGCATCAGATTTTACAGTGCTTGAGAAAGATTTATGTTCCAGAGAGCTCCTCAAAATTTACTCAGGGTCAGCAATTCTAGAAGACTCATTTACTTGTAGAGATGAGAGCTAATAAAATGAGTATGATCATTATTATAGGTCTATCTTAGACCAATTGAATATCTTCTGTCTTCTCTCTTCTTGGATTTGGAGGGAAAGAGAGGGAGAGGTGATATCAGAATGAAGGATTACAGTAGTCTGACCACAGAAACTTGGCCTAGTGGTTTGGCATAACAGAAATTTACCTTCTATTTCTTCTATAAAACAATAAAAATTGCACCCAAAGAACTATGTTATGCACAGTTTACGTCATACTGTGATCATATGGCTACTAAGTTTCAGAGCTAGCACTCAAACCAAAATAATCCAAAGCCAGTGTTCTTCCCACTATATTGTGTTGCCTTCCAGTCCACTATTCTTCCTCTGATAGTGTTATCAAGTGACATAAAAGGTATAATTCTTTGTTGATTTTAGGTTAGAAAGATGCCCTCAAAATAGCTTAATTTCCACTAATAAATTATAAGAAATCCATCATGGATGTACCTGACTCCTTTTTGGAGCTGTTCGCACTCTTAAGTGTGTCCTACCTGTGGAATAATGAGTTCTATAAATTTCATTGTTAAAGAGTACACAAAGATATAGTTCCAGCCCTGGCTCCATCTTTAAAAGTTAAGGGTAGAAAGGATTTTAGCACCAGAAATAATGAAGTGTGTTAAGTCAATCAGATGAACTCAATAAAATATTTAATTTTAGAGTAGGAAATTACTTTTTAGTATAATTGCCATTTTTTATTTAAATTCAAATAGTCAAAAATGAAATTGCTTTGTACTTTGAGACTGATCTGAAATGTTTGAATTCTCAATCTGCCTTAAAAACCTTGTCATTTTTAAATAAACATTTACCTTTTAATATGCCATTGAAAGCTGTTTTGATAATAAATTAGCAGTCTTACCCAGTATGAAGCTCTAGTTGATCTGTGGTTTAAACAAAGTGTAGCACTCTAAAAAGGAAAATTAATCACATAATTTTAATAAATTCTTTATATTTTTATAAATACAGACCTAACTCTAAAAATAATTTTGATTTTCTTTAACAGAATAATAGCTATCCCTCAATGACTGATCCCTACCTTTCCAGTTACTATCCACCATCTATTGGATTTCCTTACTCACTCAGTGAAGCACCATGGTCTACTGGTGGTGATCCACCTATTCCATATCTCACCACCTATGGACAGCTTAGTAATGGCGACCATCATTTCATGCATGATGCTGTTTTTGGACAACCTGGGGGTCTGGGAAACAATATCTATCAACACAGGTTTAATTTTTTCCCAGAAAACCCTGCATTTTCAGCATGGGGAACAAGTGGATCCCAAGGACAACAAACTCAAAGTTCAGCTTATGGAAGCAGTTATAGCTACCCACCCAGTTCTTTGGGTGGTACTATTGTTGATGGACAGACAGGATTTCATAATGACACTTTAAATAAAGCACCTGGAATGAATAGCATTGAGCAGGGAATGGTTGGACTTAAGATTGGTGGAGATGTGACAACATCTGCAGTTAAGACGGTAGGATCTGTTAACAGTGCTGTAATGACTGGTGCTCTTTCTGGTAATGGTGGATCAAGTGTAAACTTACCAGTTTCAAAACCAACATCTTGGGCTGCCATTGCCAGCAAACCTGCAAAACCACAACCTAAAATGAAAACAAAAAGTGGACCTATAATTGGAGGTGCTTTACCTCCACCACCTATAAAACATAATATGGACATTGGTACTTGGGATAATAAGGGGCCTGTGAGCAAGGCTCCCGCTCCCCAACAGATTCCATCACCTCAGTCTCTCCCACAGCCACAACAACAGATTGTTCAGCCTATTCCAACTCAGCCTCCTCCTTTGGCCCAGACACAATATCAGAACCCTCAGCAACCACCCCCAAACCGCTGGGTAGCCCCTCGAAACCGAAATGCAGCTTTTGGACAAAGTGGAGGAACCAGTAGCGATAGCAACTCTACTGGAAATGCCCAAACTAATTCTGTTCCAGGTGGAGAATCACACCCTGTACTTGAAAAACTGAAAGCTGCCCATAGTTATAACCCTAAAGAATTTGATTGGAATCTTAAAAATGGACGTGTGTTCATAATAAAGAGCTATTCTGAGGATGATATTCATCGTTCCATTAAATACTCCATTTGGTGTAGCACAGAACATGGAAACAAACGTTTGGACAGTGCTTTTCGCTCTATGAACAGTAAGGGTCCTGTCTATTTGCTCTTCAGTGTCAATGGTAGTGGACATTTTTGTGGAGTAGCAGAGATGAAGTCACCTGTGGACTATGGCACTAGTGCTGGTGTCTGGTCTCAGGACAAATGGAAGGGGAAATTTGATGTCAAGTGGATCTTTGTCAAGGATGTGCCCAACAACCAACTTCGACACATCAGGCTGGAGAATAATGACAACAAACCAGTTACAAACTCCCGTGACACACAGGAGGTACCCTTAGAAAAAGCTAAACAAGTGCTTAAAATTATTTCCACTTACAAGCACACAACCTCCATCTTTGATGATTTTTCTCATTATGAAAAGCGCCAAGAAGAAGAAGAAGTAGTGCGCAAGGTAAATTTGTATTTGATTTCTTAGTTTTCAGAAAAGATACCATCTAAAGAGGGGAGAAGGATAGAAATGGAAATTACTATGTAATTGTTGCTATGAGTAATTCAGATTTGAGCACTATAATCATGAAAATCACCAGGTTGGCCACAGGTTGAATTTTTTTTTTTTTTGCCACAGCAACTCAGATACCATCTAAGTTACAGAGCAGTTGTGATCTGCATCAGTGGAGGGCATATCCACACCGATGAAATTACAGATACTTGAAGTATTAAAGTACAAGTCATGAAAATAGAAAAGTCAAGGAAATGTCAGGTATTGTAATGGCAAACTTAGGGAGACCTGATAGTTTTCTTTGGTTTAATAAACATAGAAATTTAGTAGTTAACCTCAGAGGCTCTTCTAGTACAGTAGTACAAATAGAAAAAAAAATTGCATAAAGTAGCATCAGTTCTGCCTTACACTCATAATTTTTGTGGAGAACTACCACCTTCTAGGGATTTGCTAGAAATTTTCACAATACAGTAATTTATAAAACTAAGAGCAATTTCCAGTTTGGATTTCTAGCCATCTTATTCTGAGTGTTCAGAAAAGTGATAATGTGCTTTGCTTTTTAAGGGTTTTGACTGTAATTTGAGGTTTTCTTGGGGTTGGGAATAAGTGGGTGGGAATTTGGTGCTTTTCTTTTATCCATGTCAAAGCAGATGATGATTTAAGATAGAGAATTTGAACTTGACTATTTACTATCTAATGCCATAAATAGACTTGCTCATGAGTAACAAGCCACTCTTCATTTCTCCATTCCTGGGCTAATCACATTTATTTCGAATATTTCATTTTTTTCTTACAAAGTTTTGGAATGGAATATTAATTTGAATGGGAATTTGGTTTCACGTGGCCTTTACTTTTTCTGGTGTTCTAATTTGAACAGTAGTTATTTAAGCGCTTCTTCATTCCATTCATCAATTAAGAGCTTTCATTTGTTCATTTACCTTTTAATCTAATTCATTTCCATTGTATAAGGGAAACATGGGATTAAATGACTAAAATGATTGTGCTATGCAAAATAGCTTTAATATGTTTGAACAATTTTTAGGATAAGACTGCATGGATGATCAAAGCTGGGGTCCATGAGCAAGCAAAGTGACATGCTGGTGATGTAGTATAGTCATTCATGTGTGATTGTCTCCAATCTTCAGGCTTAATTTTTCAGGTATGGGCAGTCTACTAAGGGAAGTCCTATTAGATCAAGCTATTCCTGACATCAAGGATAACACATTCTTAAATTTTTATTTTAAGAAAATATTTATTTATATACAAGTTAAATAAAATGGAGAGTTTTCTTTTTTTTTTTACATCTGAGTATTTGAGTACTTGCACAGTGTGTTTGTGTGTATAGTAAGGAAATGATGTAAAAAAGACAACTTTTAAAATAAAACTACTTGTAGTTTTATTTAATAGTAATTCATGTCAGTATTCCATTTGAAGTAAGGGGTAGCTCAAACGGTTGATCTTAGATGGCCTCTGTAGTCCCTTTCAAATCTAGTAGCTGACAATTGTAACATAAAAAGATAGTTATTGTTACTAGGTGATGCTCAGTTCAGGAGACTTTTGACTCTTAATATATCTATTTTATTATAAATTTTTAATTGAACGAAACGAGCTTTCATTATATAATTTATGAAAGAAAATGGGAGCTGGGAGAGACCTGTCTATATGAAATAGTTAAATTCTCTGTAAACTGGGAGCCAAAACTTTGGTTTCATCACAGTGTGTGACCTTGGCTAAGTCATTTAATAGCTATATATATTAGTTTACTTCTCTCTAATAGTCTACCTTTTCTAACCTCCTAGAGATGTGAAGTCTAATGAAATTGCATAAATTTTTTTAACTTCTAGCTTTTCAGATCAAAGATACTATATATCTCTATATATACATACACATGCATGCATACTGTGTATATATGTCAGATATAGGTACACATGTATACATATGTATGTGTATATATGTAGTATATTTAGTATGAAAATAGCAATTGTGCTTTAACTCTTGTTTATGTAGTCTTTTTTTAAAGTTACAAAGCCTTTTCACTGAGTTTGAGATGTTCAATGACTTGCCCATGGGTTGCACATCTAGTAAGTGTTATTGTATATAAATAATTTTTGTTAAACCTGAAAAATTCATTAGGTCAGGCTTTATTATTTATTTTAATAATCTGTCTCCTTCCTTAGTGCAGAAGTTGGCAACGCCTCTTTCTTCTAGTTGCTTCCCTTGCAGTGTGTCAGAAAATGCAAACCAATTTTGATATTATTCTAATTAAGCACAATCATTAAGGCAATTCTAATCATGCTTTCCAGCCTCAACTTATCTGTTCCACAGTCATTGGAACAGATAAATAAAAATTGACTAATAAGTACATTTTTCAAAAACTTCTTGTTAGTATTTTCAGAAAGCTTAAATCAAAGTTTTTCATCTCAGAAACATTCAGCAGTTTTACCGCGTGACATAAATATCTTTTGAAGTTGTTAAAATGCATGTTGGAAGTTAAGAGACTATATACATACATATATATATATATATATATATATATATATATATATATATATATATATATATATATTTATTTATTTATTTTTAGGTAACAGGGTAATGTCACTTTAAAGATTTAATTAACTGAGAGTTGGATATACTGTTATGTTGGATTTAAATTTGGTTTTCTAAAATTTTATTTCTATGGATTTCCAGTAAATAATGCATTCTTAAATGTGGAGTAAACAGAAATTAAATAATTGGGACAGGGAAAATTAATTCTTAGCCTGGTTGTAAAATTTTGGTATAATTTTCATTTAGTTTTACTCAGTAAATTGAAATGGTATTTGAAGGTACCCTATGTACTTGGGGTTTTGTTTTATTTTAAAATTAAAATTTGTACTTTCTGATATCTATAAAACAAATTTTAAAAATTTCAGTTTTAAGCTATTAACTTTTATAAACTTGTGCCAATATTTGATGGACATAGTTCATAAGTATGTTGTAGTGAAAATAATCTTAAAGATACTCTGAAATTTCATAAAGCATTCAGCCCTAATGCTGTGAATTGAAGAAATTCAGCTTTGAAATTACCTCTAATTCTTTAGTAAAGGCCACCAGGTTCTAGATTTGACAACAGGTTACTTAACTGTGAAGAAACTCTTGGATCGAATTTAGATTATTGAAAACTTGAGTGTTCAGCTAAGAATAAAATTTGAACCAAAAAATTCCTCATCCACATTTCAAACTCTAGCACCAATCATAGTTACTACTGACAGGAACCAGTCCAGAGCATGTTGGATCATCTCCATATAAATAAGAAGGGTGCACTCTCAGGATAACAAATTTTGACAAAAACTAGCTAAAGGCAAAAGAAAGTAAATTAAGAGTAAGCAGTTGCTGAAATGTTCATTGTTGAGCATTCAGCTAGTAAGGTTGAATCTGTCTTCTTTTGTTACCATTTTATTTATATAGAGGAGATGATACTTAACTCCTTACTGGATAATGATTTTGTGATGATTATTTGTACCAAATGAACAAGAGAGATAATAGCAGTCAGAAAATTGAATGAGGCATGATATAGCAAAAAAGAAGAGCTACACATTGTGAGCATGAAAGTTATTAATAGTGGTAGGAGAGAAAGAGGAACTGTTTGCTTTGAGGGGAGCCACCAATCTCATAGGAGGAAATGACTTCATTTCTCAGGGGAATGCAAGTACATGTTGTAGAGTTAAATAGAACTTAATTGTTTTGCTCTCGTGGTCTAGACTTGGTTAATTTTTCTTATTTTTTTTTAAGAGGTGAAGTTAGAGAAAATTAAATCTTCCTAGGTATGTGAACTGTTACTTAACCTAGTATAAAATTCCAGATAAGGCAGAATAAAGAACATTTTCAGTAAAATGCTATTTACGTGATAGTGTATTTCACATATATAATGTAAACAATTGAAATTAACAGAAGACTTTATTTATTGTGTTTAAATTATACTTTAATGAGATAGGGTGTTTTGGGGGGTTTTGGGTATATTTTGGGGTAGGAAATAAAGGTTCAAGGTTTTTGCTGTTAGTATAGTGCTTTTCTGTACATCATGATTAGCAGTTTCATTCTTAGAAATGGAAGTGTGCAAGAGCTATTTTTTCTGAGTAGTTATAAATTAAATAATTTATTTTTAGAATTGGATTTTTTTTCATATGCTTAAATTCTGTGCTGACTATGCCAGAAAAAAAATTGAGATTGTTTCTAGACAGTCCCAGAACTAGTTGGTTATACTTTGGCAATAAAGTGGAGTTGTTTGAAAGGGAATGTAAATGGGCATTCTCTCTGTAGTGGAAGTAAACTGAATAAAGTGTGAGTGAATATAATACATATAGGAATAGTTGAATGGAAGTGATGGCATTTTCTCAACAGCATTAGCAGCTCTTATTGGCGACAAATAATCTTAGTATTTTTCCCATGCAAAATGTTATTCATATTTATTCAAATAATTCAGGTTAAGAAAAGCTTGATCACTTAAGCAAATAACCCTATTAACCAGAAATATTGAATATTTCTGCTTGCAGAAAAAGCTTTTGATGGGTCCAAACTGACTTTTAAAAGAGGAAACCGTTTAGTTTAACTAAAAAAACTAACCTGATTTGACCAGTATCACTGATTTTGTCTTGGGGCTTTAAATGCAACTTATAGCTTGACACTTCGGGAATCTATTATTTTAGGCATGCAGTGGGTAAAAACTTCCGGTAATGTGGTAGGTAAATTTTGTCATGGTGGGTGAGTTTTATATTTTACATTTTTAATAGACCTATGAAGTATATAATATGGTGTTTTAATATATTTAACCTTTACTTATTTTCTTTTTTATAGGAACGGCAGAATCGAAACAAACAATAAGAATAAAGATAAACTAGAACTGTTTACGAACTCAACTTTGAAAAACAGACTAAAAAATGCTGGTGCTGTATCTAGGCATCAGGACTGATTAAAGCTTTCAGCTCCAATGCATCTTCTCATGCAGGGGAAATTAAGTTGTTGCATTTAGTTACTTTGTAGCTTTTTTTCCCAGGTGGATCTGCATTAATTTGTATTTTTTCTATGTATAATGCTCTAGAACCCATTAATAAAGTTGTATTTTTTTTAAGTCAGCTATTAATCAGACTGACCTAATAAACTATAAGATAAGCATCCTTAAAAAACAAAGAAGACAAGCCTGATGCTTCCCAAATAATTTTTTTTTTTAGTTTTGGCACAAATTATGTTCCTTTTCTTATATTCACAGTAATTTTATGTATCTATACATATGAGCCTTCGTGTACTCCCCTTTCATGGTTTTATGGCAAAATAGCAAACCATGCAATGTTTTGTCATGTAAAACATTCCATTAAAATACTTTCTTTTAAAAATAGTGAAATCAAAAGGTAAATCAGATCAGTTTTTGCAAATGTTATGCCATTTATTTTGTCTGTGATTATACTTCTAAAAAGCCAGGATTATCAGTTTGATTTTCTACTAAATGGGGAAAAATTAAATTTTCAGTTTTTACATGCTGTGGAAAAATTGTTTAGATTTCTTTAATACAAACAAAACAATCCCTTTAAAGTTATGTTAACCAGAGCTTTTTGAGTTCATTTGTTATACCATATCCTGCAGAGAGTATTACTTTCTCACAGCCATAATTGCTTTATTGTTTATATAGCTTAATAATAATAATAATAATGATAATAATAATGTGATGCTATCAATAATGCAGGGTTTTTGAAAATGTGTTTTAAACCTGGTTCAGCTTTCAGGTGTTCTTAGTTTATTGCAGACATTTTTAATTTTTCCCTTATTCCTTACTTGAGACTCCCAATTCCATTTTAAGTTTTTATACCAATAATGCTGAGCTTTAATGTAGGAACTAATAGGATGGAAAGTATGATGGATTATGCCTCAACTGTTTAAAATTGACAGTGTATATGTCTAATTTTTTTTGTTGTTGGATGAGTAAAAGAAAAACTTTTAAAAACTCAATTTGCTGTCATGTTTTTGTGGAATGAGGGAACCACTGAAGAACTCAACACCAAATGGAATTGGAATTAAGCATGAAAATGGTGCTCATGCCTGTTGCTCTAGCCCACTGAATCTGCACGTGTTTATTGTAGAGGATCCTTACTATATTAGAAAGCAGATATCTTCTGAACACTATTTACTCCAAAAGATCCTCTGATTTAAAGGTTAAACTGTATCATTTAGACTTGTATTTAGTACGTATAACCCTTGTCTCTTTAACTATTACTGCCTGTATGGGGTAATGGACATCAGATTAACTTTTTTCCTCTAGGAGAATACAAGCCTTAATAAACAATACCTATTTAGCAAGTTTGATGTCATTTCATTTTTTCCCCTTGAATGGGGCAATATTTTAAAATTCAAATCCCAGAGCTAATTAGTGGTATCCTTATTTCAAGTAATATTCCTTTGTGTTTCAATGGTTCTTAACTCTACTTTGATAGGTTTTTCCTGGGTAATAATTGTAAGAGCATATCTTAACTGCTTGGTAGAGAGTTATAAAGTATGAGGACCTCAGAGAAATTAATGCATTTTCTTTTGCTTATTCTGTATATTTAAACTTTTAAAAGAAAATCAGAATAAAATGGTCCACAGAATTCATAATTTTTACTATGAATCCAAATAATCAGCCAACTTTTATTAAGTACTTATCCTTGAGGGGAGGGACTGTTTTTGCCTTTTCATGTATTTCCAGTGCTTAGTACCTAGTACCTGGCATCTAGTAAACCCTTAATCTTATCAAGGAAGGCTATTGGAGTTTGAGTAGAGGATGACATAGTCATATTTGCATTTTAGGAATATCGGTTTAGTGTCTATAGAGTAAAGGTCCCCAAATTTATTTGGCCTGCTGCCCCCTTTTCAAAAAAAAAAAAAAAGCTCAGCACCCCCCTGGAAATCTACCTTTAGCTCTTTAATGGTTTTTTTTTTTTGAAATTTGTGTCATTTCAAAAAGTATATGATTTTTTTTTAAAAATTGCATCTTAAATTTGATACATTATTGTAAGTTTGTGGTTTTTTCCTTGAAATTTTGATGATGTGATATTGCATCATGTAACTGTATAATTGTATAATTATTAACGAGTTATTACACACACATATTCCTGCCAGTGCATGCTGGACTTCCTGACACATGGGACACACTCTCCTGCCAATACTTGCTTGTTAAGACCTGTTGGCAGACTTGACCACTGATCAGTTATAACTTGCATTTTGTGAGTTTATTTGGAAAATAATGTAATCACTATGACTTTAACTCTGTTATACAACAGATGAAACATGTACGAATGATTTTTCAAAATTTTCTTCTTTCTATATGCTTCCACTATCCCCTTATTTTTTATTCAATGCCTCCCAATTACCCCTGAAGCTACTGCCACCCCCTTAAATCATTCTAGCACCTCCCCCCCAGGGAGTGGTATCACCCACTTTGGGAACCTGTGATAGAGGGTGGATTGGTGTGTCAGGGGAGAGGTGACAAAGGCCTGAACGTGAGTAGTGGTTGTGTGAGAGGAAAGGTGACATTTGAGAAATGTGGACAAAAGTTGGCAACTGATTTTATACTGGGGTGAGAAAGAAGAGGTGAGGAAGACACCAGTCTTACAAACCTGGGTAACTAAAAGAATGAAAGGTCCTTCAACAGAAATATAGACATTTAGATGAGAGATGAAACAAACCAGAACATGTGAATAAAGGAATCTTCCAAATTAGTAATATGCTTTATTATATTAGTCAATGTAGTCCTTTTTTCCTACAATATCCTCCAAGTAAATTTTTGCACACTACCAATGGATTTTGAATGAAGCATTACATGCTTCCTGTGTGCAAAGCACTGAGGATACAAATAGAAAAGGAAGATAGTCCTTGCTCTCAACAATCCTGTGTTCCAATGGGAAAGACCGCACCCACATGGAAGATTTTAGCTGCAAGTCAGATGGAAAGGCCACATGGTCTTTAAGGTGTAGAAGCAAAGCAAGTAGTAATACCTCAAATTTAGCACTTCCACTGATCAATCATAACCATTTTGATATTGAACTGTTTGACAATACCAAGGACTTTGTTTGTAAGACATTTAATAATCTGGGTGTTTGGTAACTGTGGCTGTAGCTCTTGCAGTGGCCAGGCTCCATCGGCACAGGGCCTGCTTCTTGGGATGATGGCACTGGACTGGAAGTATTGCTGTTCTCCAGGTTCTTGGATTTAAGGTCCTGGACTGTCTCTGTTTGGGTCTAAGGGGAGGTGATGGTGCTCAAAGTGGTGGTGGTGGTGGTGGTTTGACTTTCCTGGAACTTTCTGCCTCCTGTCTCTCCCTCAAGGTACTTTAGCTGCTGTGGCTTTTCTGCTCTGTAGGTTGATTGTCTGTTGGTGAGAGTGACTGGCCCCTTCACAGGAATTGCTTCCTCAAATGATTACTGAAGGCTGGGCTAGAATCAGGACCAGTGGTCTGGGGAGGTATATGATAATACTGATATTACTCATTAATAAATTTCTTCTACAGTACATCAGTTGAAAATTTTGTCCAAATCTGCCAAAATCACACCTGGAAAAGTCCTTAAAAAAACAAAACCACATTCCATTTCCTTAGACTGTGAACTATTATTTATTAAATGTTATGTTAAAAGAGAATGGTTCCACCAAAAAAAAAAAGTATTCAAGATACTTGCCTGTGCCAGGTAAAGTCTGGGGAAAGTTCTCTATGTAGGTCTAATACAGAATAGCAAAAGCTTGTATATATTATGATGAATGTGTGTACACTTTGCTGTAATGATCTTTTATGAGCAAAAGTCAAGGTATGCTGCTAGCATGGTATTGAAACTGTGTGTGTGTGTGTGTGTGTGTGTGTGTGTGTGTGTGTGTGTGTGTGTGTGTGTGTTGGAAGGGACAGCTGATAGAATACCTGTTTGGTATTGAAATAACTGATAGTTCCTGAGACTTTTCAGAAATAAATGAACGTCTGAAAATGTCAGAAGCATTTTTAAAAAAGTATGTCAGTGAAACAACTGTGCCATTTAAAAAAAAACAGGTATGCAAAGCCAATTTCTCTATAGAGCTTCTAGCTTCATTATAATATTTAACCACATAAGGAAAATTCTGTTTTGGTTTGACTAGATACAGGAAGCCAGCCTCAACCAGTGAGGTTGAGAAAAAAGTTGGCCATTAATGGTGAGTGTGCATCGAGACTAAAATTCTACTTAGAGTCCTAATTCAGGGCAATCACTTAACTATGTGAGATCAAGTAAGGCCAGTGCCTGGCAAATAATAGATGTTGGTTAGTATCTTGTTTTTGTTTTAGTAAATAGAAATATTAGCGCTTAGACCCTTGTCTGTCTCAAATAGTTGATGTGGGGCTACCAGGAAAGAGTTGGGAGCTTTTCTGAAGAGGTATATATCATAATTACTAGATGGGATTTTTCAAAAATCGTGTATAGTACATCAAATTTCATTCTATACTTAGCAAGTTTCTCAGTTCACATTTTATATTCCTTTGCCTTTTTGATATTCATTTATTGTCATGGATTCATTCTTGGCCTTTTTTTCTAGCCTAAAATGTGTCGTGAAGTTTGCATAAATGATTTGTTCTAAGTGATAGCAAAGATATATGACTTGCTGTCATAATCTTTAAAAAAAAAAGTCCATATAGCTTAAGTACAATATTAAAGGTATTTTTAAAAATAAGATGAAGGGGGTTTTTTTGTTACATTTATTTTAAAGGTTTTTGTTGATTTATTTTGTTTTGAAACAAGATACTTCCTACCAAAATCCCTACAATGTACACTCCCCAAAAGCAATTATGCAAAACTGCCTAATTGTTGTTGTTTGTCCTTCAGTTCTTGAAGAGGACCATGACATCAAGAAGGTGATGTCATGACTTGCAAGTGAATTGGATTTAAGTGAGGGAGGGCTGTGCAAAGTCACCAGCTTCACTCTGTCCTCCAGAGCCAATCTGGGTCCAGTGGCAAGATATAGATCAGGATGACTGGAGATGGCCTGGATGCAATGGGAGGCCTTGGCTAAGGTCTTTTGTAAGTCTCAGTTTGTCTGAGGCAAGGCCCGTTTAGTGATTAAGGCTAGGTAAAAATGAGGCTAAGAGTGACCTCTTTTACCTAGTTTAATATGTATGTATGTGTATATCAATCTGGGAGGAAAAGACCCTCAAGGTTTCTGGCCCAAACTCTCACTGAGCCATAGGAATCCAAACAATGACCAAGTGAGGCTTGGGCTGGGACCTATTGTTAGCTAATCAATGAGAGCTAGAGTGATTTGGGTTTAAGGCATGGTCCATTTAAAAAAAAAAAAAGAAAAATTTAGCTTGTAAACCTCAAGATATCTTCCTAGGTCTTAGCATTCAAAATTTATATTCCTTTCAGCAGAGCACTTGAAAGTAAGGCTATGATTTCCTATGTGAATGGAGGGAGAGAAAAGGAAGGAAGAAAGGAGTTGGATTGAACTAGTGGAACTGGCTGGTTTAATATCCAGTGAGGCAGCTACTCCTCACAGATTGTTGTTTGTCCTTTGTTCTGGAAGAGGACCATGACATCAGGAAGGAGGTGACATGACTTGCAAGTGAATTGTATTTAAGTGAGGGATGTGCAGTGTCGCTGATTGTGACTGATAGTACTCTGTCACTTTCCACTTTGGAAGTTTACTACCTATTAACTGAATGAAAGATGGATTTGGATCTGCAAGGTACCTTAGCAGTCATCTAGTCCAACTCCTTCATTTTGCAAATGAGGAAACAGGTTTGGAGAGGCCAGGTGGCACAGAAGCCCTCAGGTCACACATTAAGTAGGAGTCAGAATTTAGGATTTTTGGCCTGCAGGTCTGGTGATCTAGCCACTACAACATTTTGCCTCTAAAAGAATGCACATTTTAACTTATATTTGCATTTTCCAAGTATTTTCTTTATGCATTTTTGACCACCCACTTACCAACAACCACACTTTCTTCTCCCTCCTCCCAGTATA